AAAAAAAAAAAATTCACAGCATTTTTGTATTAGTATTTTCTTTCCTTAATCACTTTTTATTCCTCGGTAGATTTTATTTTTCTGAAAACCTTTCAATTAATCTTTTTTAATCATAATCATTGATGTATATCAATTGTATAAATAAACAAATGTAATAAATTGTGGAATAAAAAGCCGAAACCAAAAGCTGAAACTAAAATATGTGCTTTGAAGGGGGGTGGGTGGGAGGTGGGGGGGGAACAAAATTATGGGAACCTGAAATGTTACATCACAATTGTAATATAACTGTAACTGCAAAACTCTAGAGGCTCAGAAGTGTAAACAACCTTGGCTACACAGTAAATGAGGCCGGTATGGTCTGTAAGACATTGTCTCAACAAACAAGTCAAACTAAAACAAGACAAAAACTATGGGTAAATATGTGGAACATCATAAATTTGAGATAAATTTTAGTTTAGAAAACACATATACTGTGTTTAGCACTGTGTCACTATTGCCTAGAAGTGTATATCACAGAATATACTCTACTGAGAGAATAATCTCCCACACTGATCAAATCAGCTTTTCTGAATTATGTCCCAAGTTTATTATGAATCTGTTTAGAATCAAACAGTCTAATGAAAACTTGGGGTGCTAGGGAAATGGCTCAGTGGGTAATCTGCTTGGCTCACAACCATAAGAACTTGAGTTCCAATCCCCAGAACCCACATAAAACCTGACAGAATAGGGGGCATCTGTAATCACAGTGCTCCTGTGGAGAAATGAGCAGCAGAGATAGGAGAATCCATGAAACTCACCAGCCAGTTAGCCTGTTGTATACAGCAGTGTGTAAATGACCGTCTTAAGACAGTAGTTAAGGATGAATAACCAAGGTTGTCCTTTATGTGGGCCATTTTTTGAAAAGCCACCAGGCATTAATTAGGGTAAAAACTAGTAATAATTCTATTTCAGGGAGGGTGATCACTGTTTAGCACTGGAATTCGTGTGTTAAGTAAAACTTATTCCCATTCTTGAATTAAGACAAACTAAGTGGATGTGTGTCTCTGTGGAAGCATTCAAAACTAAGGTTGGTGAAAACAACCCAAGACTGCTCCCTTCCCCAGTCCAGAGTTCCAAAGCACGGCAATAGAGAAGTGAGACACATACCACTGAGTATAACGGCTAGACCAGCTGGGAGAAATGAGACTGTGCATATCACCCCTGTACTCCATCTGTTTATAATTATCTTTAATTTACTATACAAAATTCACTCATTTATTTTCTTTAGAGAATGTCATAATAGGTATTCAGTATCTACTAATAGATGGGATAGAACCAGAACTATATGGTACAAATGAACACTTAATGCTTGTGTTCCCTGCAGAGAAAATGAAAGCAAGCTATGAATGAAGTAAAGTAGAAGTTAAAACTATATTCATATATGCACTTAATTGGAAAACAAGCAAAAAAAATCTGTAAGGAGCCATAGACACCATGCAACAATATTTCAACTCAAGAACTACCTTCCCAATAAAAGATTACAAAACAGTGCTTCCAAACTAAACAAAAGGCAGCACAAAATACAGAACAGGTCAACAAACATCTTGACCAATGGTCTTTCTACACTGCTCAACTGCCTAACCATTTTCACAATTTTATTTAAGGATTTCTCACTCACATTCCCTATTTAACCTAAGTAAAAATATACGCACGGACAACCTGACAATGTTAACACAAGTTATTAAAGCCTTCCCATGGCGAAGGGCAAAGGGAAAGACAACAGATCTATACTCTCCATATGATGCCTGCAAACTCCCTTAGCACTCTTTGTTTCAATCTTCTCTAGTAAAGAAAAGTCTCTGTACCTACCCAGATTTACACTTGCCAACTTAGTTTAAAACAAGGCCCGGAGGAATGGCTTGGCAGGTGAAGATGCTTGCTGTCAAGCCCCAGACCTATCAATTTCCAGAACCCGTAAGGCAGAAGCAAGGAACAAACAAGGCTAAGTTGTCCACATACATTTATTATTTTTAATATATTTAAAAAATTAAGATGGGCATAAATTTTAACAAGTGTAGAAACACAACTACCTCTTCAGACACCAGTGGTGGAAAAATTAAGAGTATTTAACTACAATTCTTTCATAACCTACAGAGAGGATATGAAGCCCAAAAGACCTGTTGGGGGCAGAATCTATTAGTAGCCTCTAGTTCCTCCAGTTCTTGTGGGAATAATTCAAATCGAAAATGACAGGAATCAACTCTAAAGTAGATGCCTAAATGAATAGGCTTAGGATGAGCGGGTTTTCAAAACAGAAAACACATACTAGTACATTTATAAACCAGAAGGTACTCTATAACAAGCAGACAATTCAGTGATAGAACTATCACTCAAAATTGTCGTCTTTTAAGTGTTCTCCATTTCTACACCAAATTTGACGTTTTGATCTTTTATTTTCTTTTTTTCATAAGCTGGATTTCTCCATTAGACGGTGTTTCAGAAAATGAACAAAATTTTACTTTATTTCGGCTATGATTCAAATGTGATTGAAATTCTTAAGTCTAGTTACAAAGCTGTCTGCTAGTTAAAGAAACTGGTAAGTTAATGTCACTACAATATTATCTGCGAAAACAGGCAGGCAGTACGGCAGGCTTAAGAATTCTAAGAAAGTACTGTGTGTGAGCGCCGAAATACATTTCAATGTCCACCGCCTAATCTCAATTCATACGACGCTAGCAATAACTATATTTAAGTATTCAACTCTATGTCTGGTAGAATTGGCGTGTTCAACAGCACACACCAATTCTGCAACACAAAAGCGCTGTCCACGCCGGATCACACACAGGAAAATAACTTAGTTCTCTTTGGCCTGCCTTCAATAGCCCGCAACACTCCCGTTTCAAAAACCAACCTCTCTCATTCTTCAGCCCTGAAAGGAAAAACTTCCATCCACTGAGAACAAAAACCGAGCCCGTACAGAAACCCGCGGAGGCGGCAGAAGGCCGCGAGAGAGGACCCCTCCGACCGGGTTCTGCGTTCTCCCAGGTGACATCATTTCACCTGCGTCTCGGCCGGGCAGGGGCGAGCCGGCTCCCCGCCGCGGCGGGAACAAAGAGCGCCGGGCTGCCGGGAAACGTCCGCCAAGCGCGGCCCGCCGGCTCCCAACCTCCCGCGGCCAGTACCGCCCTCGTGCGGGAGCCAACGGCTGCGGGGCCAGTACCTGCGAGGGGAGGCTCCGCCCTGCGGGGCTGCTCCCGCCGCTCCGGGCCGGGCCGCCGCCTCCTATTGTGACCACTCGCCCCGCCGGCGGCCAGCTCGCCAGGGCCGCCGTCCCCGGGCCTCCTCGCCCCCGGAACCTCGGTTCCGACTGAGGCGCTGTCACGGCGCTTCCTTCCTCCTGGCACCATCACACGGGCCTCGTCAGGAAACCACGGCTCCACGCCCAGCCCTGAAGGAGTCGGCTAGCGCCTCCGAGGCCCCATCCTTTCCGCCCAGCGTCCCAACCGCCCGGGCCTCCGGAGGGCCGCCCGCCAGCCGCACGAGGGGCCCCGCCCCACTGCACCCCGCCTCGGCGCTCGCGGACCGGCACCGGCCGCGCCGGCGCAGTGGATTGCGCTGCGCGCGCAGGCGATACCCCAGGCGCTAGGTCTCCGGCCGCGGAGCTCCAGGGCCTCCCGCCTCTGGATCGCGGACGCCTGCCCCTCCCTCCTCCTCCTCCTCACAAACCTAGCCAGCCAAGAGCAGGACCGCCAGAGAGCTCCGCCTCTTCCCCCGCGCCGAGCCCCCTTTGTTTCCACCCGCGGGGGCGGGGCCGCGCGTCCTGGCCGCTCGGGCCAGTTCCGGCAACAGAGCCGGTGCGCAGCGCCGCTGCGCAGCCCCGCCCAGCTCACTCGCCAGGCCGGCGCGAGCAGCGAAGGTGGGGAGGTGGGGCAGCGCCTTCCAGCGCGGGCTGCACCTAACACAGGCGGCCTCCGCTCCAGCCAGCAACTCCAAAACTCAGCAGAGGAGCAGTACACCTCACAATATCATGTGTAGTTACATGACGGAAGAAGTAGGAATTTTTATTGATGTAGACACAGGGTCTCACAACACAACAAGCAGGCTTGTATCTAACTTGTCCGACCCGTCAGGACGAGTCTGACAGATTCTCTGACTTTGCTGTTAGAAAATAGACCGAAGCCGCCTGGCAAACGACTGAATTCAAGACCCAACAGAGAAGACAACGCCTATAATGGCGCAATAAACACAAGGAAAAAGATTGCTGAATGCCATTGGAATTATGGAAGCGGTGGGCGTTTTAAGCAGATAAAAATTAGAAGAGTCTTTAAAGGTTGATGTTTAAAAAGGGAAGTGAAACTGTAAAGGAACAGTGAGCAGAAAACCGAGTCAACAAGGCAAGGTGGCCTCACACACGGGGGAAGCTAAGAAAGGACTTCGGAGAGGTTGAGGTCCGCCTGGTCTACTGTATTGGATGGAATGCGGTCTAAAAATCTAGGGTGGGGGTAGGAGGGGGGGAAGAGGACCTAGGAAAGAAAGCAATCAAGCCTAGACACTACTTCTGTAGACTGCTTAAACCTTTCTCTTTCCTTCTGAATCTCAGTGGCCTTGGGTAACAGAAACAGATCTAAAATGTTTCAGGATCTTTTTGGACCTTATACACTCTGTTGATTAATAACACAATATGGTAATTGTGTACGGTCACCAGTATCAGACTGAGCACCAGTGCTCTATTGTGACCAAGGTCCACAATTTCAGGTGCTTAGCAACTGCTGAATCAAAGGTCTAGCACAAAGAAGCTGGAATGAGATAGCAGGTCCTGTGCAGCAGCACCCCCCCACACACACACCGCAGTTCTACACTCCCTTACGGAGCCAATTAGTGACACCTCACCCTACCCAAGGCCTCTGCCAGTTTTGTAGAGCAACCAGTTTGGAGACACTGAAAGTTGGAAGTCCCAAACAAGCCTTTGGGTACACACAGTGGATGCATTTTCTCTAAATGCCTTTCCTCCTCCTCCTCCTCCCCTTTCCCCCCTTTCTTTGAGACAGGGTCTCACTATGTAGCTTTGGCTGTCCTAGAACTCACTCTTAGACCAGACTGGCTTCAAACTCAGAGATATGCCTGCCTCTGCTGGGATTAAAGGTGATTAGAGGCATGTGCTAATACTCACAGAAACACCGTAAGTGGTATGCTTTTCATGAGGGACACCTGACAACTTGACTATGGTGGGGCTGAAATTATATCCGAGTAGTTGTTCAACAGTAAGTAGTCCAGCTAAAGCTTTGCTTGCCTTTTCCACAATAGCAGAAAGCCCTGTTGGCAAGAGCCGCTTTAAAAAACAAAACAAAACACAAAACTTTCTCTAAGGGAATTTTCTACAACTGCACAGCCCAGAAGGTATCAGCTAGCTCCACGTGGCATGGCACTTGGAATGTATGTAACTAGTGCATGCTAGCAAACGAACACCCTTTTAAAGCTGCATGTGCAGCATCTGAAGGCAAAGCTGTGCTCTGGTGAGAGCTTTTTGAGAACTCTGACTCCAAGGCTCCCCTTTACAACTGGTTTTCATGACAGGTGGAAATTGTGAATGGCTACAAAACTTCTTGAAGTATACAAGACATTGAAGTTCCTTTATAAAAAAATGTATCAAATCACTGCCTATCAAACAAGAAGACACTGAAATGCCTTCAAATGAGTCTGGTAGTTATTTAGCGATCAGCCCAGGTGCCCTACATCTAATGCAAAGGAGTAACAGCAGTCATTAAAAACCTTGCTAGGCATCCACCATCATACAGAAACCATAAAAGATTTTAGATTCGATGGCCAAGTGAGAAAATTCACACCACTCCAATTCGGATTCTAGCCTCATTTTCTCAAGGATTTGACTAACAATTCTTTTTTTTTTTTCCTCTCTCTCTCTCTCTCTCTCTATTGGGACATTTCTAACACACTAACACACCATTAGTTTTCTTTAAGTTTTTAGCTAATGGTTTGATGTTCATCTGTTGTTACATTATTTAAAAACTCTTCCAGGCTGTAAGTGTAGCTCAGCGATAGAGCATGTGTCTAGCATGCCGAAAGCCTTGACTTGCATCCCCAACACACACACACACACACACACACACACACACACACACACACACACACACACACACACCTTCGCACATAGATCATTAAGGAATTTTCTAAGAGATTTGTTTTTTCCTTTTCATGTTTAGTCATACATATAACCTAGAATTTGATTTGATCAAGCGGTAATCAAGTTGGCTTTTTCTGGCCCGGTGTGGTGGCATATGCCTCTGATTCCGGGATTTGAGAGGTTAAGACAGAAGATTATGAATTCTAGTCCAGTATGCACTGTGTAACAAGACACTGTCTCAAAAAGAAAACAGTTCTTCTCACTCTCATAGATTGTGTCCACTGTTTATCTGTTGAAGAAGGTCATCTTTTCTTGCTTTCAAAAGTACTTTGTCTTTTGAATTTCAATAAAAACATTAATAATTCTAAAGAAAGAAGGACAAAAGGAAAGAAAAAGAACAAGTAGGATTTTGTTTTTTGTTTGTTTGTGTAGCTCTGTAGACCAGGCTAGCCTGGAACTCACAGAGATCTGCCTGCCTGTCTCCCGAGTGACGGGATTAAAGGTGTGTGCCACTACTGCCCACATAGGATTTTAACTAGGACTCCATTGAATCTAGAGATGAATGAAGAGGAGTGATGGCTTGATAATGTTGACTCTTCCAGCACCTGGCTGAGCTCAATGATCAAAAAAAAATCATTTTTCCAATGATGCTTCACAATTTTCTGTAATTATCTTACATTTCAGTTCTTAGGTTTATTCCAATTGTTACCTCTAATTCAGCTATTAATTAAATAATATCAACCCTTGAGGCTTTTTAAAATATACAGCTCTGTTTAAGTTCTGGATATTCAGCCAAAAATAATAAAACTGCTCATTTTTTTCTTGCCAACATATATCTATCTTAGTGTATCACTGCACTGGCTGGTAAGTTCCCTCCAGTGCAGAGGGAAACTGCCATGGTAAGACCTGGGTTTCCTATGTTGGTAGATTCTGTTAATAACTTAAGGAATCTCTTCTATTTCTAATTTGCTGAAAATGCATGTAAATGGTTGTTTAATTTTTGTCAAAATTTTCTTTGTACATCATGATTTTTTGTTGTTAAGGTACAAACTACATTGGTTGAATTTTGACTATTAAACCAACTTTATATTGCTAATAAATCCATTTGGGTCTTATTATATTGTCCTTTTAAATACTGATGGATTTGGTATGCTTATATTCTTTAGGACATTTACTTTGTGTCCTTGTGCATAGGTATACTTTTCCATTTTTAATGTCCATACCAGATTTTATTACAAATATTTTTGTTAGTCTTAGGAAATATCAGAGCCAGTTTCTGTGTCTGTCTGTCTCTCTCTCTCTCTCTCTCTGTCTCTCTCTCTCTCTCCTGTGCTCTAGAAATGAATGAAGGACTGGAGGACCAGTGTGTTATACCTTCTCTGAACATTTGGGAAACACATTGACTACCAACCTGTACCTGGAATTAAAAAGGTTTTAGGTGCTTACTCTTTTTTTTTTTCCTAACTAAGAGGAAAACAACTATAATATTAGGATGGATACACACACACACACACACACACACACACACACACACACACACACACAGACACTGCTCACAGTCTGTAGTTTTGGAAAACTACAACCCAATTGCGAATTTGGAAAACATTATAAATATATTTCTTTTCTTTCTTTTTCTTTCTTTCTTTCTTTTTTTTGGGGGGGCAGGTTTGGTTTTTCAAGACAGGGTTTCTCTGTGTAGCTTTGCGACTTTCCTGGAACTCACTCTGTAGCCCAGGCTGGGCTTGAACTCACAGAGATCTGCCTGCCTCTGCCTCCTGAGTGCTGGGATTAAAGATGTGTGCCACCACAGCTCAGCTAAATATATTTTCTAGCACATTACATAAACAATAATTACAAGCTTAGAGAAGTGCTATTTTATGCTGTCAGATGGTAAATAAAAGTTGTTTTTCAGATTAATTTGCTTTACCATATACTAAGGATACAAGAGAATGGTTATCTGAAGGACTGACTGTTCTATGAAAAAGAAGGTTATGAGGCTGCAGGCTGTATTTATTTGTTTAAAATACTTCAATAATAAAATAATGCAATATTTAATAAATGCCTATTTCTTCATTGAACTGTAAGCTCTTTGAAGGCAGTTCCTATTTCTACTTGTCTGTCACAGATGCCCATGTTGGAGGTACGCTGGATGGCAAAAAAGGTTCAAAGATGGAAAAGGTCATTTCCTATTTTAAGACCTTAAAAACATGATTAAGAAATGTGCATGAAGAATCACTGGTCTTGGCCTTGGCAGCCATCTTCCAGTAATGCTGTGGGCATCACTGTAAACAAGGGCAAGATTCTTGCCAAAAGAATGAAGGTGCAGACTCGGCACATCAGGCTCTCTAAGAATCGAGACAGCTTCCACAACCAAGTGAAAGAAACAATCAGGAGAAAAGGGAAGCCGAGGAGAAGGGCACCTGGGGCCGGTGGGAGCACGGCCCTACCCACCCGGAGAAGCACACTTTGTGAGGACTGACAGAAAGGAAGGAGCCTGAGCTGCTGGAGCCCATTCCATGTGGATTCAAAGAGAAATAAAGGACCTGGACTGGAAAGTGTTTTTCTTAAGTTGAAATGTGGTGTCTCTTCCTCGAAAGAAAACATTGAAGCAAATTTTAATTGTACTAGCTCACTGTGTCTTTCTTATTCAAATTTTACCAAATTTGTCCTGCTAAATGATACGGGTTAGTGTGCAGAAAATATATTCTTGATTAGGGAAGAAAAAGAGAGAGAAAGAAGGAAGAAAGGGAGGAAGAGAGGGAGGGAGACAGAGACAGAGAGAGAAAGGAAGGGAAGGAAGGAAAGAAGGAAGAGAGAGAGGGAGGGGGGAGGGAGGGAGGGAGGGAGGGAGGGAGGGAGGGATCACTTGTCTAGCCAGGCATGGTGCCACCCATCTTTAATGCCAGCACTTAGGAGGCAAAGACTGGTGGATCTCTATGAAATGGAGGTGAACCTCATCTATACAGTGAGTTCCAGGCCAGCCAGGGTTACATATTGAGAGCCTGTCTCAAAATCAAACAAAAGAATCATTTGTCCTGATACTGAAAAACCATTCATATGGAAAATACACAGGGCAAGGCCTTCTTGCTGGAAGCCTCTGAATTCTAATGGTTAATACTGTCAGGAGTTGAGCTCTTCTCCTCACATCCACGCCAGATATCCTGATGGTGACCCCAATCCAACAAGCCCAGCCTCTAGTCTGAGTTAGTGGCCTCTTGTTTGTGTTCTAATGTCGTATTAATCATTCTACCTCACAGTTATGTATTTACCTGATTCACCTGCCCCAAGACTGTAAACTTCCTAAAGTCAACACTGAGCTTTAATGAAATCTGGCAAGAGATCACAAGAACTACCTGCCACATATAGTTAATAGTTCAATTGATAAGTAATTATCTCACTACAGTGGTAATTCCATTTTTCTCAATAGGCAAACTCCTAGGAATAGGGCATAAAAATTAAGGAAAGGGGGGAAAGAGGCAGAAGAAGAAAAAAAAAGAAAACCCACTAACAACAAAACACTTCATAACTTTTCATAAAGCTTGTTTTGCTCACTTACTCTCCTCCTAAAAGTATGTTTTCCACTAAACTCTGGTGAAAGAGCCTGATAAGATGAAAGCTTCTAATGGGTGAAGAGAACAGCCTCGCCCATCTGCAAGCAGGCCAAGAAGGCATCCATGCAAACAATCCGCATACACTGTTTCACAAGAAATGTTAACACCTGTCCACAGGAACATTTAATTAGCAGCAACTTCCAATTACAGTTGCTAAAACCCAGAAGGGGGCAGCAAAGGCCTGTCCAACCCCAAGTCCACCGAAAGTCTTCCTTGGTATCAGTTACCTTCTGGGCTGGGGGGCAGCTGAGTGGTCAGGGGGCTGTTCCCACTGTGCAAGTAAGGGACTACAGAGGTGGGGCCACAGACACCCCAAAGGAGAAAAACATGCCAGTGAAGATGAGGAGTGGGTGAGAGAAAAGCCAGGCTGAAAAGCCATCAGCCAAGGAATTCAAAAGATTACTCAATCTGCATACCCAGGACCAACAGAGTCAGAAACAGGAAAACAGAGATGGACAGCCTATGAGACAGAGAGAGCCAAGAGCACACGCATGCATGGTGCAGCATACTCCTCTCGAGGACAGGATGTGCAGGAAGGAACTGACCCTGAAGCAATAAGGTTTCCTCTGCATTGTCTGCCTGTGTGTGTGTGTGTGTGTGTGTGTGTGTGTGTGTGTGTGTGTGTATATCCTTTTGTGAATGTGTATATGTGATTGTATGCAAGAACACGGCAGTCCCACGCCTCAGAACACGTGTTCAAGTCAGAGGATGACCTTAAGTGTTGTGACAGGATCTCTTGTTTTTGCTGTGCCTAGGCCAAGATAGCTTCTAGGGGTTCTCCAGTCTCCGTTTATTTTCCCCTCTGCAGCACTGGGATTATAAATATATGCTTTCATGCCGGGATTAATGTGGGTTCAGGGAATTCAAACTCAGGTCCTCATGTGTGGGCAAGCTTTACCCACTGATCATTTCCCCAGCCTTTTTATACCTTTTAAAACAGAGCTGTTAGATTTAAAAAAAAAAAAAAAAAAAAAAAAAAAGAGCATCTTGAGAACAACTGTAATCATAACTCTCACTGTAATATTACTCAGGTGTATCCTATCATACAGCATAGCTTTACCAAGTCCACTGTACAGCCAGACATAGGAAAAAGCTAAGCACAGATTTGTTATTCTTTCCAACAAAGCCTACACTTTTATTGTTAGGGATGGTCTTTTTTTTTTTTTGGTTGTTTTTTTTTTTTTTTTTCGAGACAGGGTTTCTCTGTGTAGCTTTGCGCCTTTCCTGGAGCTCACTTGGTAGCCCAGGCTGGCCTCGAACTCACAGAGATCCGCCTGGCTCTGCCTCCCGAGTGCTGGGATTAAAGGTGTGCGCCACCAACGCCCGGCAGGGATGGTCTTTTAATCAAGAAAATTCTTATAAAATGTAGTCTAGCATACATTTGAAAATATATCCATAAAGCAAACGTGTAGCAGTGGAGTGGCTTGTTCAAAGAATATACCCTTCACATTTTTTCCGGATACAATCTAAATTACTCCTAAAAGATTGTGCCAATTTTTTTTTTTTTTGCAACCAAGAGTAAATGCAAATAGTTTAGAGTCTATTCTGGAGTAGAAAAGAGCAGTGTTTATTTCAGGGTACTGCCTTGGAAAGAGGATAACTCCAGGGACAGCAGCGAGCCAAGCACTGGAGCAGGAAGAGGAAAGCCTGAGGCTGAACCTAAGCCAGTGGACTTTGAGAACAGCGCCACTTCACAACCAAATTATACACTCTCTTTGTTACAGTGCCCATCTGCTAAATCCCGGAGGCTTTACTACGGTTTATATGAACTGTCTGTACTAAACTAGGAACTGGGTCCATACCTAAGCTAAAAGGATCCATGGGACCAACGTGAATAGCAGCTTGCTGTAAAAGCTAGTGACCAGCCGGGCGGTGGTGGCGCACGCCTTTAATCCCAGCACTCGGGAGGCAGAGCCAGGCGGATCTCTGGGAGTTCGAGGCCAGCCTGGGCTACCAAGTGAGTCCCAGGAAAGGCGCAAAGCTACACAGAGAAACCCTGTCTCGAAAAACAAAAAAAAAAAAAAAAAAAAAAAAAAAAAAAAAAAAAAAAAAAAAAAAAAGCTAGTGACCAAAAGACCCCTGGGTTAAAGGACCTGCTGAAAAGACAATCCTCAGAACACAGAGTTCCAGAACTATCTGGGGAGGAGAGACTGATAAAACTAGTCAGCTGCAGCTAACAGAAGCAACAAGACATTAAGGAGAAGTGTAATCAAAGTCAGTGAAATAGGAAGTAAAATGAGTTTACTTACAAACATGCTTCAAAAAATTAAAATAAAAAGCTGGTTTAAAGAAAAATTAAGGAACAGAGCAGCACAGACAAGTTCCTTCATTTCAGGGATAACCAGGAAAAAAAAGGTAATCACTGATGAAAAGGAACACATGGAGATGAGATTCTTAAAAGATTTTGGATGTAAGACATGTTACATGTTCTCGGTTGACTGGACCACATGAACACCTTTTTTACCTCACTGTGTTTGAGAAGAAACAAGCTTTCTCTAGGGAATTCTAGTGTTCCTCATGTATCTGCATAATTACAACTAATCCAGCTGACACACACTGCTATGGAGAATCCTAGTACAGTACATGTATGAAATGTAACCCACTCAATGAACTGACAGGAGCTCCTTCTACGGATACATTTTTATAATGCTGCCAACCTTGAGTGATGTTGTGGACACTGTGATACACACTACACATTCACAAAGCCTGCAGCTTCCTGCTTATGCCACATTCTACAGACCCTTCCAGGCTTCATCTCAGGATGCCTGAGCAGAATTCTAATCAGCACAAATCAAAACCTTGAAAAAATGCTTAAAATAATGTAACTTTTTATGGGGTAAATAAAAAAATTTAAGCTCCTACATAAATCTAGTATTTTTGGTTTGTTGTTGTTAACAATGGAGCTTTCTTTTGATTAAAAATTAGAAGTGTTCTGGATAGTCTTATCTAAACCTGACACACACTAGCATCATTTTGGAAGAGGGGACCTCAACTGAGAAAATGCACCACCAGATTCACCTCTGGGTAAGCCTAGGGTGCATTTTCCTTGCTTGCTAAATGATGTGGAAGGGTCCATCTCTCTGTGGGCAGGAACATCCCAAGCTGGTGGTCTGGGGTTCTATAAGAAAGCAGACTCAGCGGGGCTGTGCTGGCGCTTGCCTTTAATCCCAGCACTTGGGAGGCAGAGCCAGGCAGATCTCTGTGAGCTAGAGGCCAGCCTGGTCTACAGAGTGAAATCCAGGACAGGCACCAAAACTACACAGAGAAACCCTGTCTTGAAAAAAGAAAAAAGAGAAGAAGAGAAGAGAAGAAGAGAAGAGAAGAGAAGAGAAGAGAAGAGAAGAGAAGAGAAGAGAAAAGAAAAGAAAAGGGGGAGGGGGGAGGGGGAGGGGAGGGGGAAGGGAAGAAGGGAATTGAAGAAGGGAAGGAAAGAGGGGAGGGGAGGAGGAGAGGGAAGGGAAGGGAAGGGAAAGGAAAGAAAAGAAAAGAGGGGACGGGTGGGAGGAGGGGAGGAGGGGAGGGAAGGGAAGGGAAAGGGGAAAGGAAAGAAAAGGAAAAAGAAAAGAAAAGAAGCCGGGCAGTGGTGGCGCACGCCTTTAATCCCAGCACTCGGGAGGCAGAGCCAGGCGGATCTCTGAGTTCGAGGCCAGCCTGGTCTACAGAGTGAGTTCCAGGAAAGGTGCAAAGCTACACAGAGAAACCCTGTCTTGAAAAACAAACAAACAAACAAAAAAAAGGAAAAAGAAAAGAAAAGAAAAAGCAGGATGAGTAAGCCATGAGGCGCAAACTAGTATAAGCTAGTAAGCAGTTACTTAATGGTCCCTGCTTCAGTTCCTGTCTTGAGTTCCTGCTCTGAATTGGATGGTGGGCTATAAACTCTAAGATAAATGCTTTCCTCCCCAAATTGTTTTTGTTCGTGATGATTTATCATAGCAATAGAAACCCTACAAAGATATTACCCTTGCTTTCTTGTTCCAACAGTGTCTTATAAGTAAAATAATAAATATA